CGAAGACACCATCCTCCACATGCTCCAGTAACGAGTAATGGGCAAAATCTACAATGTGGGTAGGTGGATGACTACAATGACTGAAGGTGGATGTCGGCATTGCTAGTGTTTGCAACTTACAATGTAATCATACCGTCCTGCACTACATGTCAGGAAGGTTCAACATATGTACGCTTTACAACATATGTACAACATGTCACTTTACACGTTTCACTGTCTGCAATGGCATCTGATAACTCAGACACTCCCTGAATCTTAATTCTTAATCGTATGAGAGAATATAAGTGCAGCACAGTGTTAGCAGCTGTAGAACCACTGACCTCAGAGCCGCTAGGTGAGAAAGACAACGAGAATCCATTAGGTCGCCCCCCTCCCCCTCCAGAAAGTCTCGATACTCACTCTTCTGAGCAACCACACAACTACGATGCTTCGAGTTCCTGTTCTCTCAGTTATGCTACTGTGACAAGGACTAAACAAACCAATGCTAGCAAATCGTCTGGTTGATACCTGGTTGATGGGGTTCTGGGAGTTCTTCTACTCCCCAAGCCCGGCCCGAGGCCAGACTTGACTTGTGAGAGTTTGGTCCACCAGGTTGTTGCTTGGAGCGGCCCGCAGGCCCACATACTCATCACAGCCTGGTTGGTTCGGCACTCCTTGGAGGAATAAATCTAGTTTCCTCTTGAAAATGTCCTCGGTTGTTCCGGCAATATTTCTTATGCTTGCTGGGAGGGTGTTGAACAACCGTGGACCTCTGATGTATATACAGTGTTCTCTGATTGTGCCTATGACACCCCTGCTCTTCACTGGTTCTATTCTGCATTTTCTTCCATATCGTTCACTCCAGTACGTTGTTATTTTACTGTGTAGATATGGTACTTGGCCCTCCAGTATCTTCCAGGTGTATATTATTTGATATCTCTCTCGTCTTCTTTCTAGTGAGTACATTTGGAGGACTTTGAGACGATCCCAATAATTTAGGTGCTTTATCGCGTCAATACGTGCCGTATATGTTCTCTGTATTCCCTCTATTTCAGCAATCTCTCCTGCTCTGAAGGGGGAAGTGAGTACTGAGCAGTACTCAAGACGGGACAACACAAGTGACTTGAAGAGTACAACCATTGTGATGGGATCCCTGGATTTGAAAGTTCTCGTAATCCATCCTATCATTTTTCTGGCTGTCGCAATATTTGCTTGGTTATGCTCCTTAAACGTTAGATCGTCAGACATTATTATTCCCAAATCCTTTACATGCTGTTTTCCTACTATGGGTACATTTGATTGTGTTTTATAGCCTGTATTATGTTTAAGGTCCTCATTTTTACCGTACCTGAGTACCTGGAATTTATCACTGTGAAACATCATGTTATTTTCTGATACCCAGTCGAAAACTTTATTAATATCAGCTTGAAGTTTTTCAATGTCTTCAGCCGAGATAATTTTCATACAGATTTTTGTGTCATCTGCAAAGGATGATACGAAGCTGTGACTTGTATTTTTGTCTATATCTGATATGAGAATAAGGAAAAGCAGCGGTGCAAGGACTGTACCCTGAGGTACAGAGCTTTTAACTGCACTTGGACTAGATTTTATATGGTTGACCGTTACTCGCTGAGTCCTGTTTGACAGAAAACTGAGTATCCAGCGTCCTACTTTACCGGTTATTCCCATTGACTTCATTTTGTGTGCTATCACGCCATGGTCACATTTATCGAAAGCCTTTGCGAAGTCCGTGTATATCACATCAGCATTCTGTTTTTCTTCTAATGCCTCAGTGACTTTGTCGTAGTGCTCAAGTAGCTGTGAGAGGCACGATCTTCCCGCTCGAAATCCATGTTGGCTTGGGTTGTGAAGGTCATTGGTCACCATGAAATTGGTGACCTGACTCCTAATCACTCTCTTAAATACTTTTATGATGTGCGATGATAGTGCAACTGGTCTATAATTCTTTGCCAATGCTTTGGTCCCTCCCTTGTGTAGAGGGGCTATGTCTGCTACTTTAAGTGCATCTGATATCTCCCCCGTGTCCAAGCTCTTCCTCCACACAATACTGAGTGCCTGTGCTACCGGCACTTTGCATTTCTTTATAAATATTGAATTCCATGAGTCTGGTCCTGGGGCCGAGTGCATGGGCATGTTTTCAATTTCTCTTTCAAAATTTAGTGCGTTCGTGTTGATATCAGTTATATTTACAGGGGTTTGAATATCTCGCATAAAGAAATTGTCTGGATCTTCCACTTTCATGTTGTTTATTGGACTGCTAAACATGTCCTCATACTGCGTTTTTAGGATTTCACTAATTTCTTTGTCATTCTCCGTGTATGAACCTTCACTTGTACGAATAGGTCTAATACTGACAGTGGTTTTTGCTTTTATTTTCGCATATGTGATGAAATATTTTCAATTTTTCTTTATTTCCTGAATTGCTTTCTGTTCTAACTGCCTTTCTTCAGTTTCATATGAGCGTTTCAATTTCCGTTCGATTTCTTCAATCTCCCTATTTAAATTATTCCTTCTTTGACGGGAAATTCGTGTCTGCATAAGCAGTTCCGTTATTTTTTTTCCTGCGTTTATAGTGTCGTCTGCGTTCTCTTTCTACGTTGGATCTCTTTCTGGCTTTCCTCAAAGGAACATGTTTCAGACAGACTTGATACGCTTCCGAAGTCAGTTTTTCTATTCCTTCTGTAGGGCTTGTATTAATTAGAACAGTTTCCCATGGAATGTTTGTAAGTTCCCTGTTTATTATCTCCCAGTCTATCCTTTTATTATTAAAATTGGGGAATACTGAATAGCCCTCTCGCTTTATCAACGTTTTTGGCCTATTCTGAGTATTGATGGTCGTTTGCACTTCAATGAGCTTGTGATCTGAGTATGTGGTATCTGATATCGTAATGTCTCTGATAATGTCTTCATTGTTCGTAAAGACCAGATCTAGAATATTTTCATTTCTCGTTGGCTCCGATATCTGCTGACTGAGTGAAAATTTGTCACAGAATCTAAGTAGTTCTCTAATCTGTGGTTGGTTAGGTCCTGATAGATTTCCTGGTATAATATTATTGTTTGCTATTCTCCACCTGAGACTAGGCAAGTTGAAGTCACCTAGGAAGATAATATCAGGTATCGGGTTCTCCAAATTATCAAGGCTATTCTCTATTTTGTTTATCTGTTCTGTGAATTCCTCAGCCGTTGCATCTGGCGGTTTGTATATTAGAATAATCACTAAATTTATTTTCTCTATTTTTAATCCCAGTACCTCTACCACCTCATATGTAACGTTAAGGAGCTCCGAGCATACAAGGTCTTCCCTAATATACAGACCCACTCCTCCATGTGACCTAATTTTCCTATCACACCTGTATAGGTTATATCCTGTAATCCAGATCTCACTGTCTAAGAATTCCCCTGCATGGGTTTCTGTGAAAGCTCCAAATACTGCATTTGACTACGTGAGGAGGCCATTTATGAACTGTACTTTGTTGTTTGTTCTTGTTTTCAGTCCTTGTATGTTGGCAAAGATGAATGAGGTTACTCTATTAGTGATAGTTTGACTGGGAGACTTTTTCGGCAAACCCATTATGCGTGGACATATTGAGTTTGTACTGAACAGTACTGATTGTTGTAGGGCAGTTGTCTGTCGTAGTTGTAGTTCCCTTTCGGTGCGTAATTGTATCTGTAATTCTGGAATGCAAGTGGATCTGGCATCCAGTTCCATACACTCTCCATGCTCCTCCTTTTGAATTCTCTTTCGGTCTGGTATAAAAAATTTATAGTTTCCTCCAAATTCATTATCCTGCTTGCCACTCTTCATGTAGCGTTCCGTGCCTTTCACGTGAAAGTGTGGGCAGCTGAGGTCATAGCATTTTCTGTCCTCCAGTGAGGTTTGGCACATGTCAGGATGGAAAAACCTACATATTGATCCAAATCGACACTCACCTTTCCTAAGCATATTTAAAAAAATTTTGGGATGTTGGTAACTGCATTCTAATCCTAATCCTCGTCTGTCAACAAAATTAACATAATCTTACTGATGGTTGAACTCATGACCCATTCTTTACATATTACATAATGGAATAAGGTTGTCCTTAATGCTAATGTTCCAACGATGGGAACGATGGGGAAACTATGAAATACTTTCATCAATCATGGTGTACAACTCTAGTAATATGTCACCTGGAAAGTGGATACTCTCAACAACTAGGCATGTTTTAGAAAACGTGATGTACTTTAACTTGAAAGGGAAGTCTGTTTCTCCCTTGATTGTTAATTTATTTCCTGAAACACTGCTCAGAAAAAGTACGGGTGACTTTCTTACTGTGACAGGGTGCAATATCTCTAAGAGCTGATGAGTTGACAATATTTATTTTAGCACGTGAATCTAAAAAGACTTTTAACACTCCACCATGGACAAGGGCAGATACTAGAGGACCATTACTAGAAGCTGTACATTTCACTGCTTGTAACTTACATTGCCTAGGTTGTCTGCGTCTGGTCTGTGTCAAATTCACTTTGGTTCCATCAACATCGACAATAGGTCTATTGTCCTCCTCTGTCATGTGTCAAAATAAATTTTGAGTAGCTACTGAATACACAGGGAAGGTACTAGGTCTGGCTAACTTGATTGGGTTAGAAGGTGGCTTTGAGATTGCGCCGACGACATGGAGTGAACAGGCTGGGGGTCTAGAGTTATGTGACCTGGTATTGTAGTTGAGTGATTATTGTAATTACGGGAATACGGATACTGCCTTGGATGCAGTGCGCCTTGCCAAGTCTGACCATGGGAACCACGGGCTGGGAGTGATCTTTGCCGAGCTCTACAATCTGCTGTGTGGTGGCCAACTTGTTTATGGTACTTTCAGTACGGGAGCCTTGAGTTATTGGATTGATGAGGAGAGCAAGAATATTGTCTAGGGGGTGCTTATGCAAAGTGTGGTGACCATGCAAATTACCCACTCCCGGTACAGGGAGGTAGTGACGAAAAATAACGATGCGAGACTCATCCAAGGCCTTGCAATCGGAATGAGTACACTTTAAATCCTTTAACGAGGATCAATTGGAGGGCAAGTCTGGTGCCAGCAGCCGCGGTAATTCGAGCTCCAATAGCGTATATTAAAGTTGTTGCGGTTAAAAAGCTCGTAGTTGGATCTCAGTTCCGGACTGACGGTACACCACCTGGTGCTTACTGTCCAACCCGTTCTCGCACTTTCTAACAGTCAATATTGACTTATTAAATAAGTGCATATGTGACATACTAATTTATTGTGAATATTTTAGTTTACCTTGAAAAGCTTCATAGAAAACACCGACCTTACCTAACCTTCTTAGTATGTTAAGATAAGAATTTTATTGGTTCGTAATTACAATTATTACTTAACCTATACCTATAATAGGTTAAGTAATAATTGTAATTACGAAGCAATATGGTGCTAATCTTAACATACTAAGAAGGTTAGGTAAGGTCGGTGTTTTCTATGAAGCTTTTCAAGGTAAACTAAAATGTTCACAATAAATTAGTATGTCACATATGCACGTATTTAATAAGTCAATATTGACTATACGAAAGTGCGAAAACGGGTTGTACTGTCACGCTCCGAACAGCTAACTAGTCCCGCCGGCTCGCACTGGGTGCTCTTCATCGAGTGTCCCGAGTGGCCGGCACGTTTACTTTGAAAAAATTAGAGTGCTCAGAGCAGGTTACTTTAATGGTCTGAATGTCTATGCATGGTATGCAAATGACTGCTGGTCCACACCTAGGTGTGGACCAGCAGTCATTTGCCAAATGGTTTAATGTTCCACAATGCTAACACAAGGTAGTGGTTGGTCATGGGCTATATCGTCTTGGCAACTTATGAGGAGAAGTGTACTGCAGGTTATGACCATTGGTGCGCTTCTGTGACCAAGAATTTTATGATTGTGGGAGGGAGGAGGGCGCCGAGAGCTTGCTACTACATTTACAGTGTCAGTGGGTGGCAACATTTGAGCATTTTGGGGAAGCTAATTTGTCTGATGCATTATTCATAGCTTCAAAAACTCAAGGAGAGGTTTGGTGTGCTCGGGGGGGGGGGGGCAAAATGCATTAATGTCTCGAAAGCTATAATTTTGGTAAATACTACTTGGATCAGTAATTTGTCTTTGTCCACCCAGTGCTTTGTCCACCCTCTCGGTCGACCGGGAGCCGGTCGGCCGAGCGGACAGCACGCTGGACTTGTGATCCTGTGGTCCTGGGTTTGATCCCAGGCGCCGGCGAGAAACAATGGGCAGAGTTTCTTTCACCCTATGCCCCTGTTACCTAGCAGTAAAATAGGTATCTGGGTGTTAGTCAGCTGTCACGGGCTGCTTCCTGGGGGTGGAGGCCTGGTCGAGGATCGGGCCGCGGGGACACTAAAAAGCCCCGAAATCATCTCAAGATAACCCATGATAAACTCAACATTGCAGTCACTAAGACATAAAAATACTGGTCTATTCGGCTAGAAAATGTATAATAGGATTCACCAGGTTGCACTCACAATTTACGTAACAAACCTGTATGGTTTGCTTGGTTATGCTCCCTAATTGTAAGAAACAAAAATCAGCATGAAAATTGCCTCTGTTGAAGACATTGAAAAACTTCAAGCAGATATTAATAACGTTTTTGACTGGGCAACAGAAAATAACATAATGTTTTAACAGTGATAAATTCCAGGTACTAAGGTATGGTAAAAATGAGGAACTTAAACATAATATAGGGTACAAAACACATTCAAATCTGCCCATACTAGGAAATAGTAGACCGGTATAGTATGGGTCGAGATCTCCCTTGTTGACAAAACAACGGTAGAAAAATTCTTAATGTTTTTCCCATGACTGGAGACTAACAATGGCTTTTTCATCAATTACGACTCGTGCATCACCTCGAGTATTGTCGATAGATGATCTAGCAAATGCTAAATAGTCAGCATTAGAAGACTCTGAAAAACGAGATTTGACATTCACTTCTACTTTACTAAACCATGAATCGAGTAAGAGAGATTCTCCTGCAAAGAGAGGAATAACAATCATTTTCGCTGAACGCAGAACATTATTTCGGTTAACCTCTCCATTTCAGCCAGAAGGAGGTACAACAGTGGCAGGCATTGTCAGGACAGTAAAGCTTAGTTGGAAAGTAGATTATAATTAGGCACTCTTTGCATAAGCACAAATTACAAAATATAACACACTCAAAATGGCAAACTAGGCCATTGCATGTGCATGACAAGTGCATGACAATAATAAAAAAAAAATGTGGCTAGGCAAAACACAATAAATAGAAATCAAACAAATTTGTAAATTAAATAAGCAATCTGGAATGAATGTAACTTTAAATTAATTTCATGCAAATAATCGAACCAGACTAAGCACAACAAATCTGATTGTAAAACTGAAAGGTGTAGTTGCAAATTTTCAAACAAACTCAACATGGGACAAGAATAAAATAAGCTTAGCAATGAACAATGCAGAAACAGTGAAATGCACACAAAAGAATCAACATGTTATGCAAGAAATGTTATGCAAATAAAAATGCTAGTTTATTGACTAGCATTAAAAACACAAAATTCAGAAACGGTTAATTGGCTCAGTAGAAAATCACTCAAGGAAAATTGAGCAGTCAATTTAATTAAACTCTTTGCAATATGGCACCAAGAATTTTTAAACAAAATTCACTTTCTGCACAAGTTTAAATCAAATGGACTGTTGAAAACAATACAAATTATTTTACCAGTAGTAGAACAACTGTTGTAATTAACAGGTGAAAAATACTAAACGCAGGTAATGTAAGTAACACTTAAATTTGTAACATCCTATGGTAACATTCAAATTTTAATACTAAAAGAACAAACTTCAAATTAAATTATGGGGAAGTTTAAAAAATACTCTATTGTACAAGTCCTTGACTGCTGGATAAACAGTTAATTTTTGCTTCATTGAATCAGAATGTACTTGTAATACTGTTGGAACACTAATAATGCACAATTAATACTTGTTGTGAGAGGAGGAAATGTAGAAACACCACAGAGAATCTGTGTATGTGTGTGGAATCGGCAGTCAACTACTCAGTTTATCAAGTCACTGGAGGTAGCAATTCATATGATACAGGTTTATTTCCTTGGTAATTCGCTATTACAATACAGTTAGTAAGTAATACAGTAAGCCTCGGCTATTTACTACTTATCTCGGTTGTTGTTGTTGATTTAGGGGCAACGACGATCGTGGGATCGGATGTGTCCCGGCGTACCCGTTAAGGGTGCATCGCGAAGCCAGGAAAGGTGAAACGCCAAGCCAAATCGCGAACCGAGTGACGCCAATCACTAGAAACTAATATGCCATATGGCAAATAAACGCACAGACGGGCAGATGATTGGGGAGTCCCAGGAGTCCCTCAGGGTGACAAGCACCGGCCCCGCCCCACACAGAGAACACCAGGTAGCAAAACCAAAACTCAGCCCCCAACCAAAAAGCAAAAGTCATCCAGTGTCCTCCGGCAGAGCAGAAGCCAGCCGGTAGGGTGACACACACGATCAGTGAGGTCCGCGGAAATTCGTCAATTTCTTGGGACATTGAAGGAGTATAGAGGCTAGATTATAGTATTTGGCCTCTCGCAGTGCATAGTGTTATGATCTCAGCCTGCAGGAGAAACGAGTCTCCCTCCTTGAGAGTTATTCATCAAGCCTGACCTGATTAGAAGGTCTAGCAAATATTGAGGTGATGACCCATATGTAAAATAGTTGCTTGGATATGTATAACAATTTGAGATTATGGGCAGTGAAGAAGGAAACAGATAAATGACTGGCTAGGAGATGTGGACATTTTGCTGGAGGCGTGAGGCTCGCTTCTGGAGGGGCTTTGACCTCACTTGAGTGCCAGACATCGCAGGGGAAAGCCGCGCTCCGTTGAGCTCCCTTCAGAAGGGAACCCCTAGTGATATATCTCGAAGAGAAGAGAAGTGTGCAGACGTACCAGCTGTGGAATCGAGCTGGGGACGTGTGGTCTCAAGTCGTGGGCGACGAGAAGAATATTAAACCACCCAGAGGCATTATTGTGGGCCGTGGAAGCGCCCTGACAAGCTTCGTCAGAGGGAGGGAGCGCCCTCGACCAGACAATCTGTGGTAAGCACGATATACGCCAGTTCATAGTGATTGCTTGTAGTTGGTCGTGTGCCCAGCGACAGTAGCAACGTTTATTGATAAGTTAGACATGTTTTAATAAGGCAGAAAGCCTAAAATAAGAGAGTGGAGAGGGAGGAACACGGAGCGACGTCCGTCCCCTCTGAGCGCTGGCAGGTGACTGAGAGCTCCCGACGGCGAAGGCCCCTCCCTGAGTGAGTGAGGACCGCCGCCGGGCGAGGTGGAGTATGGACCCGCCCAAAACGGGGGAGTCCACTCCCACTGTATGTAGAGGACAGATAGAGGTTTGAGGCAAGCATATTGTGTGGTTATTTTTGTTTATGTGTTAAAGGGGAAACATTTTATTGGAGTGTCGATGGGTTGCAGGTTTGTCTTTGGGGAAGAAGTTGTTGAGAACTTCGAAGCCAGCCCAGATGAAGTAATTGATGAGACTCCAAAGTAGTGGAGGCGAGGACCTCGAGCTGTGAGGAGAAGTAGTGAAGAGGAGTGTCACGTGCTTCTGTAGAGGTGGTGAAGCACCATAGTTGCTCGAGGGAACTTCATGGTGTGGCAGTCAAGAGAGCTGTGGAGGACCCTAGCAGAAGGGTGAAGCACCGTAGTTGCTCAAGGAAACTTCATGATAACAGCCTGGAGGAGCTGCAGAGGATCCTGGTAGTGAAGCCCGGAAGACCCTAAGGATATTAGGGTAGTGAACTTCCAGAGGTGGAAGGGAAGTTCTGGTGGATTACTTATAGGGAGTTGATAGCGTTTGGTTGTCATTAGCGTGCAAGACGCAGTGAGAGGTGAGTGACTGTTGGCATTCTTATGTCAAGGAGTGTTTTATACTGAAGTTTAGAGTTACAGTCGAAGGCTGGATTACCTACAGATGTATGCGTTCTAGGACTGATAGAGTGATCGATTGATCATTGTTGTGTATCAATGAACATTTATACTGATATATGTTATTGCATTCAAATGCTGATTTTCTTTGTACACATTTATAGATACATATATATATTCTCTTGCTGATGGTGCAACAGTGTATGTAGACTTGATCAACTTAAGGAGGTTGATAGTATCAGGTGGTGAACCAGGAGATAGGACACCACTTGATAAGCTGATGATAGAGTTCTGATGATGTTGGAGTGCAACCTGATTGTAATAGTATAGAGTATAGGATTCATTATTTCTGTATGTGTGTATGTATTGTGTATGTGCTTTGTCCAGTAAATGTATCCCAATTTGCCGGTGTTTGCCCTTGTCCTAGTGAGGCTTCCCAGGAGGTAGTAAAGAAGGAGAGAGAGAGAGAGAAAGAACCAAAAACCACTGCTGTGGACAGGGTAGGAGGTAATACTAGTAAGTCATAGGGGATTGAGGAGATCATATCTCATAAGGAGAGAGTGGGGAGTCACAGCGGCTCGAGTGGGTGTGTGCACGTGACAACGAGGCTAAGTGTTGGAGCCGCATCCCCTAAACGTGTGACATTGAGCCCCTCTCCAAGAGCCAGAAGCGCCAAGGGTGATCTCCTAGTATAAGCACTCTACCGAGTTGTGGGTTGGGTTGTCCATAGAGAAGGATCAACGACGACAACA